GTAAAAAATGTAAGGGATAATAAATTGTATATTTTCTGTAAATATAAATAAAGCTGATGAAAACGATGGTACTAGTTTACATTTATTCACACTTACAATTTATAAATTTTCACGCTACTACATTTTGGGAGTAAATGTATTGGGAAAAACCGACATCCGGGAAAGAGACAAAAACTACTATTATAGCAAAGCCATTTTCCATGGTTACTTATTAGTACTAAGCCAATTACAAGCCGTCTTATATTTATGCATTTAAATTTTGACATTTGAAAGATACGAAATGCAGTTTAACAGTGGTAGCCCGCTTTAGCATCTTCGCACAGGACTCGCCCCAGCAATACCACGACCACAGATAGGCGTGAAGTGGAAGCAATTCCGCGTACAGTCTGATGACTGTAGTGCCGGAGGCCTCATTTAAGTCCCTTTCGCTTTCCACCCTTTTCTTAAGAGGAAAGGATGATAAGGAAAAGTGGATTTGACGGTGGAGGAGACGCATAGGAAGGGGAAACATCTTTATGTGCGTCTCCTCCTTTATTGATTAAAGACAGACAGTGCATCCGCTATTACGACTGTCTATGGGCAGAGGTCGCTTCGCTATTTTGGTGGATTCAGGTGTCCGCTTGCTTGTTTGCCACGTCATAATATAAAAAAAATTATATATATCAAAACTTAGTAATGAAATAAGAATAGAAGTATTTGTTTAACAACATAAAGGCATAAAATCTAGCTTTTCTAGCCATAAAATATTCGAATATCCTTACCAATAGCACATCTGGCTTTAGAAGCAGAATCATGAGCCTTCTTCTTCAAGTTGTCGCGTTCGTTCTGAGCTCCTCTTAGAGACGAGAAGTTCTTCTTGTCCAAATCCTCAATAGGAGATTCTACTATCTACAAAATATTTTAAAAATCACTACTAAATAATGACACTTAAACTTAGTAAATAGTTTTAGTAATTACTTAATTTGCTTACGGCAGATATCAGCAATAACAAAACATTTTTAGTTATGAATTATTCGTATTTTAACAAAAAATTTCACACTTACGTTAGTCAATAGGCTATATATTTTTACGTTATTTTAAATTATGGGTTTTCCATTAGCTAATACTTACCGTTACCATAGCAATTTTGGTGCTATTGACTGTTTTGGTTCATTTCCAGTATGACGGAATTTTCTAAAATATACCCTCTGAGTTTAATAGCGTAAAAATAGCTTAAAACGTGACGTAAGTGTAGGGCTTTATTAAAAAAAGAATTATTCAAAAATATACTGTAATTGCTTTGCAACAATCTATACTATTATAATAAAGTGTAAACACACACTTCTTTGTTGCCTAAGATGTCAGCAATTACAAGATATTTTTGAATATATTTTTTTTTTTAATAAAAAGCCCTAAACTTACGTTACGCTTTAGACTATATATTTTGACGACATTAAACTTAGGGCGTAAAAAATTGGAAAAAAACCCGTATTTAGGAAAGGGACCATAAACTACCAGCCAACATTTAAGAAGCAAGGTTATTATGGTAACGGTAATTTAACAAATGTAAACAACAAAAGTTTTCATAATTTCGTGCGGGTAAAGCCGCAGGGGAACAGCTAGTATAGTATGGGTTACTTACAGCATAAAGTGCTTTATTATAGTCGATGCAGTATTTCTTTGCCTGTTTGTAGTTGTCGATTGCTTTCTTAGTGTTCTCGTGCATATCATGTTCCAGTTCCACCATATCCTTAGTGATGACAACTGGAGGCGGCTGCTGAGGCGGACATTGCTCCGTTTGAATCAATGTTACTATAAACAATAATATTATATTTTACAATCTATACTATTATAATAAAGCGTAAACACACACTTCTTTGTTGCCTAAGATGTCAGCAATTACAGCATATTTTTGAATATTACTTTTTTAATAAAAAGCCCTACACTTACGTCACACTTTAGGCTATATATTTTCACGACATTAAACTTAGGGGGTAAATATTTTAGATAAAAACCTAATGTGGGAAAGATACCATAAGCTGCTGCCAACATCAAGAAAGCAAGATTGCTAAGGTTTGTCATGTCATTTTGACATTTGCTATTGATAATTTGACAGATGTAAACAATAAAAAATCATTATTTCATGCGGATGAAGCCGCACGGAATCAGCTAGTAATAAAAATAATTAAAGATTAAAAAAATAAACTTTTATTGTCTATACTAGTGTATATTGTTGAAAGATTTGTATTTTTGCATGTATTGAAATAACTCAAAAACTACTAGGCCTATTTCTAAATTCTTTCACCATTAAAAAGCTGTGTTATAACTTAGTAACATAGGTTATACTTTTTCTTATGCTTTTTTATCTATACTGTTATAAAGAGGAAAAATTAGATTTTTGTATGTATTGAAAAAACTCAAATAAAACGTGGCCGAATTCAAAAATTCTTTAACCATTAGAAAGCTACGCTATCAGTGATATAGGATTTTTTTATTTTTAATTTCATGCGGACGAAGTCGCGGTCCTAAGCTAGTTTACAATATTAGTAAGATATAGTAAAGATTTTTTTCCCATCATTAGCTCTGTTCTGCGATATGTGCAGATTTCAATATTTTCCTTCATCGTAAGAATATTTACTAGCTGTTGCTCGCGACTACGCCCGCGTGAATTTAAATAATAATACAAAATATATCCTATGTTACTCACAGAAAAATTACGTTTCTAATAGTGAAAGAAATTTATAATATCAGCACAACAGTTTTTGTGTGAATTATTATTTTCCTATTTAATATATTACTAGCTTTCGTCTACGACTTTGCCCTCGTGGTATAAAAAAAACTAAAGTAAGTAGCCTATGTGTTCTTCCAGACTATCCTCCACGACTATGCCAAATTTCATCACAATTAATTTAGCCGTTTACGCTACAAACTCTAACAAACATCCATCCATCCATCCATCTCACATTTATAATATTAGTATGAAGTATGATTACTTAATTACTATAGTATATTTACCCTTTGTCTCAAGTTCTGGTCTCACGGGAGGTTTCTCTTGAACGTACAATGGTTCGAATTTCGGAGGGGGCACTGTTAGATAATTTTATTATTTGTTAGTTATAATGAAAATTAATTACATGAAATATAAAAAAGGGTTACAAAACACAAATCACAAAAGATTAAAATTAGCCGATTTAATTTATTTTCTGAACGATGAAATAAAAAAAAAAAGATGAAATAACTTTTTTTTCTATTCCACTACTTATGTCATTGATGTTTTTATTTTATTTTTTGCGTTTCTTGCATCTAATTGTGTTGTAGTTTTGGTAATATTATTTTATTTGTATAATAATGATATTTGAAAAATTTCAATTTTGCTTAATATATATATATCCCTAGAAGGAGGGTTCCAAAATTTCTATGTACATGTGAAATGGATGACCAATGACTATATAAATTTTAATGAAATAATTAATAATTTTTACAAGATTTTCAATCATTCATTAAAAGTAAAATCAAAATATGAAAAGATTAAAATATATTTAATATGAAAACAATACCAGCCTTACAAATAAACGCAGTACAAAGTTATACTTAGGAATAAACTGAATACGCAAAATTTGTACTAATAGTGTACTAATATAACTCACTTTATTCCTAAGTTTCACCGTAAGAACGTCGGGTAAATTATGTATGTATGAAAATCGAAAATCAAATTAGTACAGCGGAATCGAACCCAAGACCTGTAGATTAAAAGTCAAGTGCTACCACAGAGCCAATGGTGAAGGGAAACATTGTGATGCAACCTGCACATATCGGTGAAGAAATTCAATGATATGTGTGAAGTCAACCCGCAGTGGGCCAGTGTGGTTGACTATGGCCTAGTCATCCCTTATTAGGGTAGGCTCCGAGCCCCTCGGTGGGGAAGTATAGGGAGCTGATGATTCCTAAGATTAACTTTATATCATTTTTATTTATAAGGCTGTTAGTATTCATGTATTTGAACAATACAATAGTTACATAGTTAAATATATGTTAGTTACTTACATTCATAATCTTTTTTAGTAAAATGTTCTACCGCATCCTTTTCTAAATCCTGTTCGGATCTTTGTTGGAAATCGAGCGGGGATACACCTTCCTGAAAATAATAACGCAATATTAAATAAAAAAAACTAAATAGTTAGACTTGTTATTAATTAAAATAAGAACTAACTGTTGCAACTTAGCGGGTGTGTAATAAAAATAATAAAAATGTAGCTTATGTTACTCACAGATAAATTATCTTTCTAATGGTGAAAAAAAAAATTAAAACCCGCCTAATAGTTTTTGAGTTATTTCCATACAAAAATACAAATCATTCTTTATAATATTAGTATAATGGAAAATATATGACAAGTGCATAAAAGTTTGCTTTTAACCACATTATGGGCCTGTCCCACCACTTGCTGATAGAGACTCAGATAGCTTAAAAATGTCATTACTATCAGATAAGCGAACAAAATCTGATATTTCCACCACATATTTTACATACTATTCAGCCATATGACGTCCACTGCTGGGCATAGACCTCCCCTAACGATCGCCACGATGATCGGTCCTGTGCCCCCCGCATCCAGGATACTCCCGCAACCTTGACCAGATCATCGGTCCATCTTGCGGGAGGCCTACCCACGCTGCGTCGACCTGTCCGTGGCCGCCATTCCAGGACTTTATATTTTACATGTTGGATTGTTATTAGACAATTTACAATTTGGTAGGACAGGCCCTAATGTTATAATTTTAGTTTTGTCCTTTAATAATACATTTAAAATATCCAAATCATAATAATTACCTTTCCAAACATGAAATTACTAATAGCTGTGGTTACTCTGCTGATTTGGTTTGTGGTTGCCTTCCAATATGTTGTATTCTCCTGATAAACTAGTGCTATAAAGTTATTAGCCCACGGAGCATTTGATTCTAACCAATTCCTAGCATCTGGGCTGCTTCTGTAAAACAAACAAGTAAATTGGTTATTACATATCTATTTTCCACAATTTCTTAAACATAGACAACAAAACTTTAATTTTGAATGTCTATGGGCAATGGTTGCTTTTCTATTTCAGCCAATTCAGGTGTCCACTTCTTCATTTGCCATCTAGTACCATAAAAAAGTTTAAAAAAAGTAAAATTGATTCCAATTTACCATCCTTACTCTATATTCTGCTCTGTTATAAAATAGTACAGAATAGTGCATCAAAACAAGGGGTTACTATTTGTAATAACTCTTCTCTAATGACAAATCCTTTAATTGCCTATGTATTTTTAATTATCTATGGTACCGGTTATTGGGTTTTAAAAATTAAATGTATCCTTACTTAGCATACACAACCGCTGCTCCTGTAAGAATTGTAGCTCCCACAGCGGTCCATAGAACCTTCCGGGATTTTGGTGGTACTTTAGGTGGGGGTGGACAGGCATCTTTATCAAACTGAGCATACGTGCGGCGCGGCGCTCGCATTACAACGAGTGCGGTGCATGATGCATCACCTATTTGCTTTCTCACCTGAAATAAATAAAATAAAGCACGTAAGTAAAAGTAAAGTAAATAGGCCAAATGAATTTTTATTTTTATTCAGCTTTTTTCATCCGACTGTTGTAATTATAGGTTACTTATTACGAAAATGACATTGCTTTGATGTTATGTAAGGGACAACAACAACAAAGTTCATATTTTGATTAACATAGTTATAATAACTGTGGTTTATAAATTGTATTACATATTAGATTAAATAAAGCCCAAAACATTGCAAATACATGGAGTTAAAGTTCGATCAAAACATAAATAGTAGTAACTTCAATCGGGATTATGTTAGTATGGAGAAGGTATTTTTTAGATATATTGTGATCAATATCATTAAGAAAAGCAATAAGAAACTATACATACCAATATTAAATTTGGATTTGCTAAATGAGTCCTGAATTTATACATTTTCGGCACCAAACTTATTCCACTATGGCCTGACAACTAGCTGTCAAAATTGGAAAACCATTATATCAACTGTCAGATGACAAGATTCTGTCCTATCCAATAAAAGAAATTTTAGTTGATCAGTTTACTTTAATGTTATGTTTTGAATGAATAGCTTTAAAATGTAATTGTATTTAATGAATAAATTGTTTATTTTTGGCTACTTTTGTCTCGTATTATATGACTTTTTGATCTTTGCCGTGTTTTGACAGTACAGTACTTTGACATTTGCCATTTTGACTTCGATTCGATTTGTTTTCCCTTCGGAATGGCTATTATGTAAAAAAACCTATTTTCCTCTCTAATAAGCAAAAACCAAGCATATTTTAAGCCATATAATGATACGTTGTGCATTTTCTGGTAAATATGGTAAGAATTATTTAGCTCTTGATTCTAAAATATTTTATAACCTCTAAATTAACATCTTTCAGCTTTTCGAGGACTCCCTCTACGTCTGACTTACCCAAATGCTAGCAAAATAATTCATCAAGATGTAAGGAACTTCTCAGCAATTAATACAAGGAACAACTTTATTTGTACTGTCCCAATAATCAAGGAAAATTTAATCAACAACAAAACAATATTAGATTTATCTTCTAACTTTAATCAAGTTCCAGTACGAACTGTGACTAAATTTAGTATTAACAAAGGTAAAAGGAAAACTGTAAAAGCAGCAGTTAAAAGATTCTTTAGACTCCATTGGGGTGGTTGGATTAGAACGAAAATTGGTAGACATAAGAAATTATGGAAAAAATCACAGCCGCAGAAGAGAAGATTAAGGCAACATGTCTTCTGTAATTCCACACAAAGTACTTTACTTGACAAAATGGTGACTAAGTTTTGGAAGAGACCTAAATATTATGTTGATGACCCCTATGCACCTTACCACACAAGAGAAGAATTTTATCTAACTAGAAAGAAGCCCAGATGTTAATTTTGAGATCTATCTTATATATTTTGTAGTCATGATAAGGTTCATTTCAAATAAATGTTATAATCTACATTTTAATAAATTTGTTTAAATTCATATTACTTTCTGCTTGACCATTTCCATATAGACATGGAATGATTGGGAAGGGAGGTTTTTTTATTTCGTAACCTGATTATGATGCTGAAGAGTTTGATATTAATTTATGAGAGAATTTTTTACAACTTACAACTGTACATTTTTTTTTAAGTAGTCTATGTAGGTGTTACTCCAGATTTAGGTTTGTGCGTCTCATGGAAATTCGGTAAACCGTTTTAAAGATCTGGAGTAACTTCAATCACTCATCTTAACCTACACATTTGTAATTCTAAGTTTGGTGAGATGTAAATAATTTTCATCATAGAATTACTTGATTAAAATTATTCTAATGCTTACTAGGTTTACTACATTTACATAATTTAATATTTATGCACATGATTCTGAACGAAATTAAATATGTCAAGATGAAATGAAAGATATTTTTAATGGTGTTACCATACGCATAAGATTTTCCACAAATATTGATATAACTTGGGACATTTAAAATTAATAACTATTATTTCCCTTATTTTAACTCGAATTACTCTTTTTTGTTTAGTTGCTCGTACTATTTTGTTATAATCATTTACATATGTGGGCTGGAACAACATCGGATTAAACATTAATTTTTAATTTTCGTTTTTTGCGACAAACCTAGACCTACCCAGTATCTGCGTGTAAACACTCAAAGTTTGCAAATTGTAAAATTGCTACACAAAAAAAACATACAGACGAATTGAGTACCTCCTTCTTTTGGGAAGTTGGTCAAAAAAGTAAAAAGAAAGAGCGAAAAGAAAACTCATGTGACAATATTCAATATTCATGGATTTTCTTTTTAGGTTTATTTAATAAATTTTACATATAGATATATGCTAATTTTAAACCCAATCAATAAATGTACGAAAAACTGATAAACTCTTACATCAAATGACATGTATAAATTGTTGCGTAACCTCTGTTGTTTTGTTTTGATACTGCTCGAAAATCGAGTGTGAAAACTTGTTGAACGCTGACGTACCAACATGACTTATATCTTGAAACGTGCGATAACGTCAATAAAAAGTCAGTTTCCTTTAAAGAATTACATCAATAAATCATCAGCATTTGAAGTAAATAGACACTTTTCCGTCGGAACAAGAAAAAACATGAAACTCGTGCAATTTAGTTACAAAGATTGCCCCTGTGACATTCATGTCGGATATTTAATAGGTGATAATCTGGTTGAAGTTAATAAAGCCGATCCAACGTTACCGTATACGCTGCTAGATATTTTAAAAACCGACTCTCTACATAAAGTGCGAAAGTAAGTTGATTTTTCTATAAATATTTTCTTAAACTTTTCAGTCCAAGTTTTAACATTTGAATGTTAATGTTGCTTCTCCTGGACTTAATAGAAGACTTTGTAAACTTATTTCTTGATTTTGAGAAATCATTTTACAGCTCAAGCTGACCCATTTAGAAATAGTTTTACAGAGTAAAACCAATCTCGTACCTTAAATACATTTGATTAACTTATCCTAGCTTTCACCCATGACTCTGTCACTATATAATTTTTTTTTTAAACTATCCTCTACATCTAAGCCAAATTTCATCGAGATCCATTCAGCTTTTTGGCTACAAACTAACAAACTTCCATACATCCATCTAAACTTTGCATGGGTAATCTCGTAACTTGTTATCGATTTACAAAAAATATCTTCCTCCATTTTTCATAACTGGTAAAGGGTAGTGTCTTGAATGTAAATCCATTTTAATTTGACAAATGAGGTATCATTGTTGGTCCTCTTACCCTGAGTGTCATATGGTGTTTATTGGCACAAAATGCCTACTGTGGACATGAGAATTGCATTTAAAAAAAAAAACTTCTCTAGCAATTATTCAGCATCATTTTTTTGTTTCTAAATCTTTTTTGCATGTTTTGGAGTATTTTGATCTATTAGTTTGTCAAATAGTTACAAAGAGAGTGAGAGTAACATTTTTTTCATCTATACTAAGATTATAAAGAGGCAAGATTTTTATTTTTATCTGTTTTGAAAGAACTCAAAAACTACTGGGCGGATTTTAAAAATTCTTTCACCGTTAGAAAGGTAATTTATATTTTTTTTCAATTTCATGTGAATGAAGACGCAAGCAATAGCAAGTCATTGTTAAAATTGTAATAATTTCTTTCTAACATAAAAGGAATGATTTCATTTACCAGTTAAATATGTTTTTATAAAATACATTTTTATAAAAACATATTTAGTTATTTATAGTCTGTAAAATGTAGTTGATATTATCTATTTATCAGTGTACTCTTGTCCTTGAGATTAAGTCATCTGTAAACATTGTTAAATGGTTGTTGAAATGCATTAAAATAATAGGATAGGATTGACTACAATACCGGAATACATTATTTATAGATTATAGACTAGCTGTTCCCGTGTGGCTACATCCGCATGGAATTATGAAAATTTTATTTTATTGTTTACATTTGTCAATGTATCATTAGCAAATGTCAAAATGACATAACATGACAAACCTTGGCAATTTGCTTCCTTGATGTTGGCAGCAACTTATGGTCTCTTTTCCACATTAGGGTTTTTATCTAAAATATTTACCCCCTAAGTTTAATGACGTGAAAATATATAGCCTAAAGTGTGACGTAAGGATAGGGGTTTTTATTAAAGGATTATACGAAAATATGCTGTTATTGCTGACGTCAACAAAGAAGTGTATGTTTATGTTTTATTATAATAGTATAGATATGAGAATCAAGGTTCGCAGCGAGGGGTACCCTCCCTAGAATCGAAAATTGTAAAATATTGTAAATTAACCAGCTATCTCTTGTGATTATGTTTGAATAAAATTAAAAACAAAAGTAAATAGCCAATGTGTTCTTCCAGACTACCCTCTATATCTATGTCAATTTTTATTGAGATCCGTTTTTGCCTACAAGTTCAAACCATCCATCTCAAAATTAGCTTTAATAATATTAGAAGTATTTGAGAGACAATAAATTTTTATCTGATTCTCTTACAATGATTGACTTGATTACAATCTGATTGTATCATAAGGTCAAAGTTTAGATTGACGGTTGGATGGAAGGATGTTAGAGGTTGAAAGGCTTCAACCTCTAACAAACATCCTTCCATCCAACCGTTTAGGCAAACTACTGAACAAATCTCAATCAAATTTGGCACAGATATAGAGCATAGTCTGTTATAACATATAGCCTATTTACTAAGTTTTTATTTAATTGCTCTCTGACAGAGTCGTGAGGGAAAATACTACTAAATATATGAGAAGCACATCCTTTTATTGCAATTTTTTTGTTACTTTTGCATATACGAATATAAAGATGAGAAAGTAAAGGGGTTTAGGTGTATGTAAAAAAAAAAAAACTTATGTATCTTGCACATTTTTTTTATTTTTAACAATATTTTTTTGTTTCAAGGATAGTATGTACGAATCCAGATCCGATACCTTTGAATTCAGTGAACTTAGTAGCGCCCATACATGGTATGGACAAAGTGCTCTGCGTCGGTCTAAACTACAAGGACCATTGCGAGGAACAGAATTTAAAACCACCTGAAGTACCGATTATTTTTAGTAAATTCTCGAGTACTGTTATTGGACCAGGAGCTGCTGTTCGTCTTCGTGAGTCTACTAAGGTAAAATTTTTTTATATTTTTTTTTACTAATATCGGTAAAATTTATTAATTGACGTATTGATGGTCACTAATTCTTAAAGATCGATGTTAAGTAGTTTTATCGACAAAAAAATAGATTTTTTATTTGTCCATCGATTTTGGTGACGTCACCTAAGTAGCGTTTCATTCCATATTTTTCTAACAATGTGGGATGCATTATCTTTACGCTAGATTGAGTTTTTGAGCATTGTTTTGTATCTAAATTAAATATTATTTTGAAATGTTTAATATTGATTGTAAAATATAGTCATGATTTTAGCATGTCTATTTTTTCTAAAATCGCACTACATGCTATTAAAGAGGGTATGGGGGGTGAAAAATTGCTAAAAACATATCATGATTATTCGAAGATCCTTTAGCCAATGTGATAAAATAAACAACAATTAGTAATTTATTAATATACAATTCTATTCATTACAAAAAAACTTAACCATTAAATTTAAATGAATTTCGTGACATAAGGAAGATTTTTTCATCACGGAACGTTTTTTTTCTATTTTAACCTCGACGATCAGCCAAAGTCCACTCCGTTGTTAAAATTTAGCCGCGTTGTATCTGAAATACGAAAAAAAACTTTCAAACGAATTTCACGATTTCCATTTCCGTTTTAAGTTGAAATCAACGCCATCTATTATTAAAAAAAATTAAACATCGCACCGTATTTTTCGTTTTTTTTTTATACAAGCCGTAGACTAAATACGTAATCGCAATGAAAATGTCTCATGAATCACGGAGCGATGTGACCTCAGTGGCAGGCAAATTGGGGTCAATTATTGAAGTAAATTAAGCTGGCAGCTCGTAATGCGCGTAGGTGGACCGCAGATGGAATAATTTACATCATAAACGTACAGGATACTGGCCATATAATGTTAAACTTTAGAAAAAAAATGTCCCTAATGTTATTGTCTCCCTTACCTTATGCTACTCCCGTAAAGTTCTCCAAATAACTCTGTCATTCGTCATCTCAGTCACTCCCTTCTTGATCATGCCACCTTTCACGTAATCCATCTCTTTCTAAGTCTACCTCTACTGGTGCTACTACTAACGTCCTTCTTGTTACATGCGATTCATCCCCCTTTTTTATGTACTCGATATATTGATGATTTCGTCAACATCTAGTTGTAATGCAAAAATAAAAAAATGACGAATGCGTACGTTTTTAATTTAAAATTTGTAATTTCCAATAATTGCGGAAACCTTAATACAAAAATGGACTAAACACGAATTTTATCCTTCAGCTATTCGTTATTTAAATGCAATATAATATAAAGAAATTTGTAAATAAATATTAAGTATTGTACATTTGATGTTCAACGGCAGACTCCGGGGGGGGGGG